TCTGCTGGAAGAACAAATTTAGAAAAATTCCAAATTTCTAAAAATGTCATAAAAACAGCAAATAATAGCAAATAAATTGTTATGTATTCATTCTTCAGTAGTTTTAACAACACATAATACAAACCGCTTCTTGAGACAGACTATTCAAAAGATTCTCAGTGATCAGTAGCACTCAGGAATGGTATTTAGTAGAAAAAGTAAAATGTTGAATTTAATAGAAAATAACAATCTTTAACAGATAACAAGTTTAACTAGAATTTGAATTGTTTCCCTATAACTAACTACAATAGACAAACCTTGTTCTTCTCATATTAAAAAAAGGTGAATCTATTTAATTCATATCATGGCCAATACTTGAAGACAGACGGAAAACTAATGGATTTAAGATTATTTAATTAATCATAAGAAGATTATCATTTTAAAAAAGAAACAAACGCAACAATATTTTTTGAAGCAAAGTGATAAATGCAAAAAGAAACTCGATTTCCACTTTACTTCTACTGTGGTGCGAGCTACTTATAAGTAGTATAGGACGTGAGTGTCAACGTAATGTCTGGCAGCAGAAGATGGGGGAAGATCAAGAAAGGAAGAGTTAGGACACAATGGAATTTGTATGAAACGCATGAATAGTGACAATGGATTGATGTTTTGCAACAGGAACAGTCCAGTTCGATATGATGGACTGATATTTTGCAAATTAACGATTTACGATATGGTTTTCCGATTTTACTGAGTAACTATTTCTTCATCATATCGAGTGTTTTGAACAAATTCGATATGTAAATCATTTTAATCATTACAATCCTTATATTGTGCAACTATATATACTGTTATAACTTGTATTTTCATTTTTTTGTTTTAAAAAGAAATACCAGTTAGTTAGTTAGTTATTTCTCTAAAATGACAAAATTTTGTCATAACTGTGATACATAAATAGTGAGTAAGCAAAAATACCGACAGATGAACTATATTTGAAATAAAATGAAAATACTACTATCTAATCAACAGTTTCACATGAAATACTGAGAAATGCTTCACATGGAATATTTAAAAACATTTCACATTAATCATAGTATTTTGGATAGCCGTCAGAAAATTTTACACTGATTTCTTATTTTTGTTAATATCTTAAAAAATAGTTGGATTTTAGTTGGCATTGTTATTCAAGATGTGCATTTCGTATAATTCAGGACTCATCAGCTGAATGCAACTATATTTTTGTGTTGATATTCATATCGAATGTTGTTAAACGGGTATGATGCTTATATTTTTATTGACAATTATTTGTAGCTATCTCGACTCTACAGCTTAATAGATTAGGCGTTTGAAGCGAAAGGTGCTGTCCTCGACCTTCAATGTGAATACCATCATCACTTCCTAATATGTACAATTCATTTGTTCTCTGAAACTTGTAGCGAATCTCCTAAATTTGGCACAAATACTCAGGAAGACTGCCCAAAACTCAGTCCTGAGTATCAAAATCTTATCAGCAATCATGTTTTATCAGTGTTGTTTCCATAACTCGGTAATGCTTGAGTTCTAGTCTAGACTGGCTCAATTTATTTCGAAAAATAGTGCATTCCTAGCTTTTAAATAACATTACCTCGTGACGAAACTTATCTCTATACATCTATCATATGTTTACCAGTAACTGGCTTTCAGATCAATTTCCTAAAAGTTATAACTGGTAAAGTTCATTCATGTCAGGAGTAAGGAACTAGCTCATTATTGGTGACAAGTAACCATATATCGTTCACTGACTGAACATGCGATGTTACACCTGTTATGGAGCTGGCAGTCAGCATAAAGCTAACTAGATGCAAGACCTGAAGGTCTAGGTGGGAGTTATAGTGAGACCCTGATGAGAAGTCTCGAACCGATAGGAAATGCGTATGTAATGTTCCTAATTTTTAGTGGACCAATTCTGTGTGTAACGGTTGAAAATAAATTCGATATGGTTTATCAATAATTAAATGATGTTTAGATTCATTAGAAATACATATTCAAATTTCATGGGCATTAATGAGAATCATATTTAGTAAATAAAATAAAAAATAAGCTAAATTGGTGGCGGAAATATTATTCATTTTTCAACATAATCTGATTAAATTCAGTCACGAGTTCAAAGAGCTTTATACTGATAATAAATGTGACTAGAACTCATGAACTCAAACTATGTTAGATCTTAACAAAATAATATATGCGCAAAATTATTTCTAAAACATAATTCAAGACTGATAACAACATAAATTTGAAGTATATTTTGTACGCAATAACTTGCATCCCTATATTTGATCTTGACAGTAAAGCTTTTGACTTTTGTCTTGAACTATTTTGAGGACTTTCTGTGAATACTATTAACAATCTAACTAGAATTGTTTATAACTGTGTGCTTTGAACGTGTCCAGTGTATTTCAGACCAAAATGTAGAATGAAAAGTTTGAATTTAGTGAAAGTTAGGGATTAAAATAAAATATTTAGTGCAAATTACACTCAAATATGTTGCTAAACTCATTGAAAGAACAAAAAATGACCGAAAGTCCTGAGTAAGATACACTTAACGAATTTTACGTACAATCTCAGCCGAACGATTTCAGTCAGATTGTTTAGAAACCTTAACTTATTTTAAGAATGAATAAATGTTTGTTAAGTCACCATGATTATTTGACTAAATTATTTATCAAGTCTCTTGAAGTCAACTGAGCTCGTTTGTTTTATGAATAGTAGATATGACTATTAAATGATCTAAAAGAATGTAAAATATTCCCTTCACTCGAATCAGCATGTTGTACAAATTTTGAATGATGAAAGTGGCTGACAAAAATTGTCCGAGTTTAGTTTTCATGAAACTACCTGGAAATACTACAAAGAAAAGGATTCATTACTAACTTTAACCTGATTAATAATTTTACATTTTAAAATAAATAAAATGGCTCTACTATGATAATATTTTCACATACTCCTAATCGTAAGATATTTTTTATATGAACTCAAGCATTATCGCTTGATTGTTTCATCCTTTCACATAAAATATAGTTAATTAATAATGAATCTATAACACAACTTTGTATAAAATTACTTGATAATCAACTACTATTCATCAGACTATTAGAATATTGAAAAGAATAAGAAAAATATCTTTAAATAAAAGAAATTACGTAACAGCACTTACGGATGAGGTCGCAATATCAGAGTAAGATTGATAGCTTTCTTTTGAATGCAGAGTTTTGGTTTAAATCATCTAATAGCCACTACCTCAGCATATCCTACAATATTTAATGTTCCTCGTTTATTAATAATCTTGAAAACTCTGAATTCAAAAAGAATCAGCTATCAATCTTGCCCTGCTAGTGTGACCTCATTTATAAGTGTTGTTCTGTAATTTTGTTTATGACTAATGATTCCCAACTCTTATTTGATTTGTACTTAATCAATTTCGCCTTAAGAGTTACATAAATAACTACAGCATTAATATCTTATTTCTAAACGATTCTGTTTCTTATATTCAGCCCATAAATATATTCTTAGTATTTAGCTTATAAATATTATCTCTTATGGTCCTTATTGTTCTCTTATGGTGCTTCCTTAATAGAAACTTTTCCGTTATTGTGATATAAGACATATACATTGGCTTTTAGTGACTAACACTACTCTGTTCAGGTTGTAAGCAGCCAACGAGAAACAGTGAAACAAAATGAATTTATGCTATTCTGCTACGTTAATTGTTCTTGCTTCATTCAAATTTTCTGGTAGATTAAAACAATTACCAGAAGATATTAAACATATAAAGTGTTGACAAATAGCATTCAAAATAATAAACACTGCTTTGATTCATCAGTGAATGATATTCTCATAATGGAGACCTTGTGAAATGTTTTAGATTCTGATTATACAATACAAAATAAAAAAAACTCTTTTAACTCTAGAAGAATAACAATTTATTCAAAATTTTTATAACTAGACGATAGTAAAGAAAAAGCAAAGAATTATCGAAAGAGATCAAGAAATTAGGAATTAAGTGAATCGTTAGAATATTTTTCACATACAGAGTGAATTCTACTGACTTCGTTGTATGCGAAAAGATAAATTCTCAACAACTACAATACATTTCATGATTTAGATAGAGATTACCAACTTATAATGTGATTTCATGTTTGTGAAAGGTAATAATCCTGAATACAGTAATAATTTAAACATGAAAGATAAGCTTTCAAAGAAATAAACGAAATCGAAGAATTAAAACTGTGTAAGGTGACTAAAATCGGAATTCAGAAAGAAGTATATATTATGCAACTTCGTTATGGCTTGTCACAACTCATGTCCTGAACTCACAGTCTTTAATCTGTTCCTTTATCAAATAGTACAACACGTCAGAGTCGATGGCTAGATATGTACAATATATCCCCAAACAACCAGGTTAAACAGAATCAAGTATATTCTCGTAAACAATTTATCAACATCAACCATAATCCCAGCCCCAAACAAATAAAAAAGAAATAACTCCTCCTACTATAAGTCTTCCTATTAGTTAAGAGCATGAAAAACAGATCCAGAAATCAAAACACAAACTTTCCTAGCGTTATCCATAAAATGATTAATCGCAAAAGTCCAGTGTATACAAGCATTACAAATTAAAAAATAATGACAATGATTCATGTGGTCACACGAATCTTAAGTTGTAGATAATAAGAGGTACCTAGATGATCTTACCAGCGTGTCTGTCGGTAGATTATAAACACAGGACTTGTGGAAGGGACCGATTGGTGAGCGCATGTAGTAATATCACTAAGGAACTTACAATTGCTGCAACCAATTCATAATACAATGTTCGCCTTCTTTCAAGATATCAACACCGTATTATCCAACAAATTCGATTTCCGCAACGTATTTTTTCTGTGAAATGTAGCAACCTCAGATCGATATACGCCTACGTGTACACTCATCTATATATAAATGATTTGACAAACAACTTTTGACCTAACAGAACGACCATACGAAATGTCCGTTTTAATAACGACTGTTTTAAACGATGAGTTTAGAATAGGATCTGAATAAAAAATGTGTCGAACTAACATATTAGATAAGACGAATCTATTCATCATCAACTTTATTATTTCAGTTACCATTTGACCAGTTAGTTCACCTGTACAAGAACTAATGAAATCAGTAGTAGATTCGATGAAAACACTCGAATAAACCAAAGTCCATGAATTATACGAAGTAAAGATTGAAATATACATCCGAAATGAATTTTAGGTTAAATCAAAAAAAAAAAACTGATTAAGGAGAAAATAAAAAAAATATCTTCTTAAAAGTAATCCAAAATTACAGTTGATATCTTCTAGATTACGTTAAACAGCCCAGTTATCCAATAGTCACAATATTAGGCATATATATTTTGATAATTAGAGTAAAATAAGACTATCAGATCAATATGTATGCATATCTTTTGAATGCCAACAGGATGATTATTTACATGAGACCAGGAATATCTTCACTTGACGGCTAACTACAATTCAATCTTGTTTTATATAACACTAAAGGTGTATATATGATTATACACACACTCATTTTTTTTTATGAGAAGTTTGTTTCTTTATTTTTTTTTTAAAAAAAAAGGCATATGATAGTAATTACTAAATAGTAATCATAATGGTGATCATACTATAACACACATCATATATTAGTAATTCAATGAGAATATAATATTATTTCTCAATAAAAAAATTTAATCAGATCTAATTTTATTGAAAACAAATGTTATTGAAAAAAACAAAAAAAAACTGATGCTAAAAAGTAGGCAGTTGTAAGTAAGACAACCGGTAAATTTACATTAATATAACAAATATTATATAATATATTTCATAAGAATAAACACGTAATATATATGTGTATATAAAAAGAAGAAAATTTTCAAATGGACGAATTTAAATGGATGAGAATAGAAATAATATATATATATATGTAGTAGAAAGAAAAAACCAAAAATTGTAGAAACGTTTTGAAAAATTGATTACAACAACATACACTAAACAACAAGGATGATTAAAATCGTTCATAATTATTAATTATCATTTCAACCATTTCAACTCAACATATGTTGAACATAGTAGTAGTAACGATAATAATAACACTGACCCTTTTTCTCTATTCTCACATATGAAAGGCTTTTTGAGCAATTTCAAGAAGAGAAAGAGAGATGATAAAAATAATGTGATTGTTTTTTCTTTAAAGAAGAAAATGTAAACTAAATTAGCAAATGCCTCCATTTACATAATATACGTATGTATACATAGGTTTAATTACTTATGTATACAAAAATTTCAAATATAATTTCACTAGAAATAAACAAACAGCAATAGATAGTTTATTTGTTCATTGTTCAAGCGTTGCCTAAACTAGAGATTTAATTAATAATTTATGAGGATAGTTTACTTTTTATAACACAACTACTAGTTGTGAAGTGATGGTTATTATTAATAAATATATGCGCGTATGTATGTATGTATGTATACAAATGTAGTAATTGGTTGCAGTTGCAACAATTTTTGAGCAGATTAATAGAATGAAATTAGAATACACAGTGGAAAATGTTCACATCTGGGTTTTGTTTTTTTACTGAGATCAAAAAGTGACATAATAAAACACATCATCAACACAAAATATCTCATGGCATTTACAAATTTCTTGGTATGCAAATGTTGATAATAATAATAAAAAAAAATCAACTATCAGAATTTGTGGAGAGATTAATGTGTACATCATCATTGTTAGGTAAATTAGTTTGATTATTATTTTTAGATGTGTTAGAACTGGTGTCTTGTAGTAAATTGAATGAATTTTGTGATGTAGAATTCCCATTTGAAGGGATAAATTGTACCGCTGTGACATTAGCAGGCAGAGCATTTGATGCTGGACAACAAGTATCTGACTGACAATTCTTGTTCGGACCACAATCCAAAACACATGTTAAATAATCCGTATTTTCCGTTGATCCTTCAATATTCTATAGAAAAATAATTCAGAATTAAATGTCAATGTTACTCAAACGTCAGAATTATATTGGCAACAATGAAATAACTGATATATGAAGTTTCAATATATTTCATGTATTATTTTAAATCCTCTCTTTTTTTCTGTCCCTAAGCACTTAAAAACATAATTACGTTTCATTAGTTTCATTCCAACTACATGTATCTTACATTTTTGTTAAATATTGAAAATTGATCTGGCAACAAAAATTTACCACCAGTTACAGAGTACAGTAAATATATTGTTAGTCATACAGAGTTAGATTATTTAGATAGAGTTATCATTGTACAGAATACATCAGAAATTAAAAGCTGCCACACTTGAAGGATTTCACTAGAATGAATTAGTATACAATAAAAATTAGTTGAACACTAATGAGTTAGAAAGATACATATTGGGAATGAACCGGACAAACAAAATAAAGAAGATTAAAACAATGTATGAATAATCTACGTTGCTGCCATCTATGTTGTTAGCGATATACTAGTTAAGAATCCAACTACATAGTTAAGTTGAGTATAATGAGTCTTACTTACAACTGCCGATGTTTTAAAAAACATATATAATCATATTTACTGTATTAATATTTTGTACATTTGTTGGAATCAAAATCTACTTCGTCGATCAATTGTTTTATCTCTTGGCAGCACAGCTCGTAAAGAGGTCAAGGTTAATAATCTGGCTATGTAAGCAGTTATCAGTCGGCGTACAACGCATCATTATGCACGCGATTTGCCGAGAGACATCTCATGTAGACTTTTGATGAAACATGAGTACTTGTACAGTTTCAACCAAAACGATTTTTACGGGTTTTATTATTATTATTATTATCATGAAAAGCTTTATTCAATATTATCTGTTTAGTACAATATAGAATTCTCAGCTCAGAATATTTCAGCAAGTTTCCTTCACAAATATAAAAAATTAGCTCAAGAATCAACATAATATTAACGTTTATTCCTTTCTCCATATAGAGCTAGCTACCGCGATGTCTTGGATTGTATGTTTTTGTACTTTGTGAACCAACAGCTCATAAATTTATTATGTACATGCCTGAATAGATAATGCGATTAGTAAATAATTGATGTGTTAGAAAAAAACAGTAAGAACTTATTGAAATATTTGACGTTAGGAGAGAGTAAGTAGAATCCTCAGTATCTATAGGAATATTGAAAAAATCTGGCTATCAACATTACATCATGCCATTGTCAGATAAAAAAAAAATTTAAAATTAGTCAATTTTTTAAAACACAGAATATACAACGGTTTTTTTTACCTTGAAAGAGAATGGTAAAAAACCACAAGTAATAAGAAAAATAAGGAAAATTACCTCTTCAAATTCCGGTTGTATTGTTGTACAGTGTATATTGAATTCATGGAATAGTTGTTTCACTTCACGAGCAATACTTAAATAGTCCGCTTATAAACAAATAGAATAATTAAGAGTAGAAGGGAATAATATAGATTCTTGATGAATAATTTGATAAATTCATATATTATTATCTACGAGTGAATTATTCTTACAAATTATCATTTCAGCTTACAACCTGTTTGTGAATTTTCAAAAACAAAAAGCCTCTATTTGAGATATATTGAAGAGTTGAATCAATTCTTGTTATTGAAGCAATCTACATGCACTGATTGCATATTACTAACTCCTGATAACTTTTAAACTTCTGTTTTAACGATGAATAGATGAATCCTAAAACTTTTTTTTTAATTTGCATAAAATTTATGTTTCTCCAGCAGCTTCCTGACATACTTCACTTTCCAAAACAGTTACCTTAATATTTCTCTACGAATAACAGTAGTAGTGTACCGTTTACTCTCGATTAGGTGTTTGTATAACCACGCTGATGATAATTCAGCCTGTTCAACCAGTCGCTATTGGTGTATGAACTGCTTCCGAGGATGCCTCGATGTTGGTTGTGTCTAAAAGTTAATTACATAATGAGAGGCGGTTGGCAGTGAATTTATACAGTACTCACCGGGTATAATGGCAGCTAACGTGACTCGATAGTCTAGCTGACAAAATCTTGAGTACTGGATTTGAGTCTCTATGTGAGAAACAACACTTAGATCCAGGTACCTCTACATGATAAGTACCAGATACGACAAGATACGAGTACATAATTTCACTGCTAGCCACTATCCAAAAACTTTTACCTAAATCTTTTTTTCATACATAATCATACATTTTTCTTAACTGAGTATTTCCTTGTCAAATCAATGGAAAGATATGAACATTTTCCAAATTATTGACACTATACAACTTTTTTGAATAAGCAGATTAGAATCATTAGAAAATAAAATGGATTAATTTGTGACTATTCAACAAACTGTTTAGCATGATCGATTTAGATGAACATCATGGTGACAGTTACACCTCACTACTATAAAAGTATATCTCCGTATTTCTGGTGAACTGCAACTGCAGAAAGAATGAGTTAGCACCGAATGAAAGTTGACGAAAAAGTCAAAAACAACTACCTGCATGCGAATTCTATTTATCTTAGAATTGCTCAGAATGTTAATCAAACAAATTTATCTACTGACTGATTGATATGTGATATGTTTACAGTAATAACAATACTATAAATCAAATGTATGGTTTTCCCTAGACTTCATGGATGAAGTAATAACTTAGTTTGCCAAATTCAAACGAAGCAAAAACTATAATTGAGTGAATTTCTCAATTCGCTACAACAATATTGGCATGCAAAGAGAATAAAATAATCACTTTTTGACGATATAGACAAAATACGAAATGTCTTCAAAACAGATAATGTGATTCATACGTTTTATACAGAGTTAGCTACAAAATATAACATTGTACATACGTACACCAGTTCAAATAGCTATACCACAATAGCACAGAGAGATCGAACTGTCAATTCAAATCCCATAGTAATAAAGGTAGTAGAAGTATTGGCAGTGATCAAAAAGGGATCGATGATGATTTGAGAATATCCCAGTGCAATCAATTTAAAAAACTAGAAAAAACGGTCAAGAGGAATTCAAATGATTAGAATATGGGATGTTTCTGCGTCATGTCATTCAAATTCTAACCACATGTTACGATTGCCTCGGGGACATCAGTCACGTAGTCTACACCTACCTACATGGTTCAGTCCAATTGTCAGTGATTTCATAGGCTTGTGTCATGTTTTAATTTGACCGCCCCTGGCTTTCTTTCAGCTTACCCATCGCCAAAGCAGTCGGTGATTGGGCATATGTCACGCAAGTCACAACCACCCCGACTGATGAACATGCACTACTTCATCAACTGAGCTACCATCCTTACCTAAGCGACCCATTCTAGAAAAAACATCTTGCATTTCGAAGGGGAGAATCACATCCTGAACATGCTTGCATTTTTGCTTAAGGTGGTCAGCAAACAGAACTTTGTCATCGAAATATTATAGGTCAATAAGTAGAAGGTAAACTACTGAAGAGTCAAACGACGACAGTGCCGTCTCTAAATGCATGTCAATGACAAAGTTGAACAATAATAGACAAAGAAGACAACCTTAACGGAAAGCTTGAAGAAATCAATTCCGAGGACAGTTCACCATAAGTTCTCACTCGAACAGTAGTGTTTGACTAGAGACAATGTACAAGGTTAATGTATTTCTTTGGTACTCCTTTCAAACACTGCCACAGAACCTTACGATCGACAGAGAAAACGCTGCCTTAAGGTCCAGGAAAACAACTGTTGTGGGACGCCCAAGTGTGTATCTATGTTCCAGGACCAGACAAAGAGTGAATATATGGTCTATACAGCCACGTCCACGTTTGAAACCACTCTGATTTTCTCGAGTCTGTCCTTCAAGAGTCCTAGTTAGGCGTCTAAGTATTCTGGAGGCTAACATTTTAGAAACTATATTAGTCAAACTGATTCCTCTGTGATTGTTACAAGAGGACATTTGTCCTTTCTTATAGACCGGAACAATCAGTGTTTGAGACCAATCAGATGGGATTGCGCCCAGTTCCCACAATCTATCTAAGATCTCAATCAGTCTCACTGATAAGACTGGACTACTATCCTTCACAACTCAGGGGCTAATTAATCAGGGCCCGCTGCTCTCTCTTTCCAGATTTCGAATAGCCTTTTCAACCTCATCAAGATTCAGATCACTCACATCAAATTGCTCCTGAGGTTGACTGAAGATCGTGAGTAACTTAAGTGTGGCTGAAGGCCAGTCGAACTGTTCCCTAAAGTGTTCTACCAACAGAATCAGTCTGGATTGAAAATGAATAATATGTCCGTAATTTTTTGAGACAGTCCCACTAGCAGTCGGATTTCTAGCACCGGTTTCCTTTGTAAGCTTTTCTACTGTTACCAGTATATATATATATATTTTCACCTCTATCTTCCTCTTTCTAAATTTACCTCACTGAATTATACTTTTTGAAATAACATCTTCGAACCCTGATCTCTCCGATTACTTCTAATACTTTTACTACCTCTACTACTGTGGGATTTGAATTGACAATTATATCTCTGTGCTAACGTGATGTAGCAACTTGAACTGCTGTACTTACGCGTAAAGTTCTACGTTGCTGTTGATGATATATATATATATATATATATATATATATATATATATATCCAAACAGAATGTTAGTGCGTTTCTTTTGTCGTTTTTCCACAGGAAACCTACTAAAGTTGTTATGGAAGATCCACCTACCGAAGTAAGCTAAAGCGCAGAAATACCTCTTAAAAATTTAATTCTCTTTCCTTACAATTTAATTGCCAAGTGTTGGAAATTGTTCTAAATTATGACATGATTTTAGGAAAAATTGGCACATTGTAACAACTTATCGAGACTTCCTGAACAGAATACTTTTTCTCTTAGGATTTATGCTGCTGGAAATAGATCTTCTAAACGTTTTAAGATTTGCTAGATCATTTTACTGATTTGACTTCACCAAGGGTTAACTTATTCTATCGTTAACATATAAAGCGAAATTAACATATCAGCACTAAGATTATGTTGGCTCAAATCGACATATTTTTCAATAATACAAGAGAAAATCAACAAAAATAGAAATGTTCAGAGATAGATAATCGTAATGAGTCTATAAATTATAAATAAAAATCAACAAATACCAGAAAATTCAAGTGCGAGTGTATAACAAACAGCTAGTGGCACTAAGCATTAACACCAGATTTCAACGATGACAGATGTGATGATTATTGATTGAAAAGATAGCTATACCCAACACTAGTACTGCGGAGTTGGGAAGATGAAAATTAGATCACAGTCATCTGATTTTTAAAATGACCACTTTGATTACATATAATCACTGTTCTTATTCAATCTATCTACGTAAATACTTTTTGGAAATCCCACAAAATTTCGGTTTCTAAGCATTTAACGACGCAATCACACAAAATGGAAGTACTTGAAACAGTTTCACATTTAACCGTACATGATTCATTTCCCTTTTTGAAATGTGACTATACCAGGATTTGATCACAGTAAGATTTTTCTCCGAAAGTAACTAGTAACTGTTTTCTCATAACGGAAAGAGGGTTTATAAAACATCGACTATGAAAATTGTACATCTCTTCTCGCCTGAAAAATCTTTGTCGACCGCGAAAATGCCATTTGAGAAACGATTCTAGGACACCGATAACTAATCGCATAAAGGCAATGTGTAGCCAACCTTAAGTGATTAGCCTTGGGCTCTGTGATCACACTTCCACACCAGTTTCCGTTTCAGGTACCTGAAGAAGTATCCTTCCCCGATGCTAAAAACTGGAAATTGACAACAAACCTCGTAACTGCAACAAGACTTCAGATTACTTTGTCCATAATCAAACCTTATCTCTATTTTTGTGTAGATTTAGTCAGTGTGCACCTTGACAAGCGATTACCGACGGATTCAATATAAGATGTAAAAAGGTTAAGAATAGCTGGATTAGAAGGTGCCATTAAATCATAAATTTATTGACCATTCGTCTGAGCCATATTTTGTAGATTGGAAGAAAGCTAGGGGTCACCAAACCAAAACATGGCACAAATCCATGAAGTCACGGACAAGTAGATTGAGTCATGGTGGTAGGTGTAGACTACCTGGTTGGGATCCGTAAGATGATAGTAACCAATGGTTAGAGACTTTGGATGACATGGCTCAAAATCGTTTGCAATGGCGCAGTTGCATCCACTCTTTGAGTTTTCTGAAATTCTAATCTTCTGAAGTCCTCATCACCTTTATCTTTTTCTTCCTTATGTATGTACGTACGAAGTTCTACGTTGCAACTGACTGACTGAGAGAGTCGTGTCGAAAAAGTTCTGAGCTTTGTTTTTAGCAATATCATTCGAAAACTAAAGGATTGTTTTCGACAAGAAAATTAAGAATCAAAGTAGCTTTCTCAATAAAATCAGAAAAACAGACGTGTAGAAAATGTTGAATTAAAAATTACTAGATTGTGCTTTATGGAATCGTAACAAGTTGGATTAAATAATTCAGAAGTTGGAGATAAAGGTCAGAGTCAACTAATTACAGGGATAAAAACTGTAACTGCTATGCTAAAATGAGATAATTAAAAAGAATAAAATGGACACAAGCAATAAAATTTCATCTAAGGTTTTCAAATGACCAAATAAATACATCTTATTTCACTCCACTGACATTTTCTGTACATGTAAAAAACTATCTATAATATAAAAAGGCGCATGCAGTGAGCAACACTTAAACATTTATTACTGATTAAATTCAATCAACTAGTCATTAGATTACAAGAAAGAGTAAGTAATCGAGAGGAAGCAGAATGCTAGAATGGCAAGCTGATCATTTACTAGTAGTAACAGTAAGATTAATAGTGATTATCCTTACTTACTCATTGTTTCTATCTAACCGAATAGATTTTATATACATAGATTAAGGAAAAGGAAAGTAGGAACAAATACTCTATTAGCAGGCAAATAAACGATGCAAAAAAGGATTACGATTGCCATTTCTATGATAAGATAATATACACCTTGCTACAAATATAAGTAAAATTTATCAAGAACTGTGATTGACATACAAATATTCACTTAGTTATATGTTAAAAGGATTACATAAAAGTAGCGGACTACTACTAACCATGCTATGAGATCAAACAACACAGTTGAATATATAATATTTATCCATTCACATTTTCATTACTTTGTTCTTTAAAACTAAAATTTAGGATACATCATTCACTATTCAAAACCTCAGCTAGATAAATCTTATTTTCAACCAAATATAACCAACAGAAGACATCTTAACACTACACAAGCATTCTGCAAACAGAATTACTCTATCTGCTTCGTTCGAGTAGATTTACATACTTTCTCTATACTCGTTTATATATGTATATAACGAAGTGGTGGTAATTACAAACACTACCGATTAACATTGATGGTATACCTATATAGGTATACCTACAAACTCATGTATAATAGGATACACTTGTAAAATGTGAAGTTTCCAGCCAAATAAATACCTTATGTACAGGAAGAAAACGAATTAAAACTTTTAATTTTTGATAATCATGCCTCGGTTAACCAAATTTAACTTTTTACAAAGACAAATATTAAGATTTATTAACAGTTGTAGTGATAATTAAACTATCTGTTTCCAAATTAACAGTTTGGACTGCCAAAAATAAAGTTTCAATGAAAAAGGAAAGTGTTAATCAGATGTAATTAGATACATAAAATACAAGCGAGTGGAAAATGTTTTTACAAAACATTTATAAACTTACGTAGACTAACACAACGAATGTGAACAGTTCCAATAATACAATTGCTTTGTAAACGCCATACATGCAGATCATGAATTTTATGAATTCCATCAATCTGAATTGCAAAGTAGAAAATAAAAGTAGTTGTCATGTTTAAATACTAGCCAATTTCAAGAAAAACGGGTACTGTAAGATAAACATGAACTGAAGACTTGAATAATTCAGTTTCATTATGTATAACTAAACATGTAAATTATGACAATGGGTAAAGAGAACTGGTAGGCCGGTTAAGATAGATAATCCCTTAGAAAGCATGTAAGTTCAAACTATCGTATTTCAATCACAATAGAAACAGAAAGGTGGGATGTAGGAAAAATATACGCGTAATCAATAGTTGGATGCAAATCTACACAAGAAATAAAAGTATTTTACTTGAGACTCTTTTACATCTGATAAAAGTAATTTCTATTTAATTTACCGTACACTGACTTGGCTAAATAATTATCTCAAGCTTGGAAGGGAACTTGCACGCGTTTACATTCTGACTTGAAAGTCCCTGAATGATATGAATCTTTCTCATAGAATATAGAGGAACTTTTTATGTGCCACTTACAGAGGCAAAGGATTTCACGCGCTAACGTTACATTATATATTTTGAATGTAACCCGTTATAACATACTAACTGAATTAGCGGGAATAAACAGGTAACATAGATTTTTGTAAATATTTTAGGTTAAAAATGAAACTAAACCATTAAAATGGTGGTCTATTAATTTGAAAGAATCCTGAATTAAGTAAAGCAAAAACCATAAAACCATATTCACGGTGATCTTAACTAAAAATAAGGATATATTTTATTGACAAAACTCAAGAATAAACAATGTAGAACATTGTAAAATGAGCGACTCGAGCAGTTGATCAATATAACATCAGCAGAGCGAGGTGGAATAAATGAGATGAAGTTTAAATGATAACAAAGATAAATATGGGGAATATAGTACTGAAGAGAGAGATCATAAGGTTGTATCAAATTAACAGAAAAATAGGATGAGTATATCGATACCAAAGTAACCAGTTTTGAGACATGTCGCGTAAGATCTTTAACTATAGACGCCTATTCAATGATTGTTATCGGTCAGCTCTACGTACATCAGGGCTTTTTTCTGTAAATTTACAAGGTTTTGGTTAAGGTATTCCGCTTTTAGTCCCTAAGTAACGTGTTCGGATCTCCACTCACTCCAATTTAGACAACTGCGTAGTATCACTGTTCCTCACACTTACGGCGTAGCTCATGCCAAGTACCTGATAGATCAGCTAAGACAAATTTTTATACTTTATTTTACCTCATTTTTATATTTTATAACTTGATTTTACAAAAAAGAAACTCTCTCTTCGAAGTACACCTTTACGAAAATGCCATGAGAATAGCGAAGCCCCTCAAATCGAAACAAACTGCATCTCAATATATGTATGATAGCAGTTTAGAAACAAACATGCTTTCAAAAATTCCATATCTAACAATAGTGGTAACCACGAGACTATCAATCACAACATTGCCTGTTCCATCTTCCACCTTATAATATGTGCCGGAAATTCGGAGTATAGAAAATTAAAAAAACTCGATGTATTATAAAAGTGATCGGCTTCCATGAATTATTGCTTGAATAAGATAATGGCGTTTTCTGATCGGTAATAATGATAATGATAATAACACTGAGCAACTATTTATTTTGAAAGATTCAATCAGTGAGTGTTGATGTTGATGAGATTATCTTACGATAAACTATAATTAAAGAAAAATAAAGCCAGTGTACAATCGACAAATTAACTCACATTTTCCATACGAGTCTTAAGATTTGTTAAACAAATTTCACTAGGAACAGATTGTAACAATATTAATGTAGCTTTATACACTATTAGAAGAAAAAACAAATTCAAAATAAAAAAACAAGTTAGTTTACCAGGTAAACTGTGAGAAGATTAATTTCAAATTTATAAAAAAATTAGAGAAATTGCTGGTAAGACAAATAGTTTAAACAAATGATGTATATGTACTAACAATACCAATGTTTAAAATAGAGTAATTATTCGAATAATTTTCTGATTGTCTTTTGCCTATTTACCGTGTTATTGAGAACCTTGTAAACTTGAACTAATGTAAAACAATGGAGTCAAGCGTCTTTTTTAAGAGAAGTGGAAGTATGAAGAAATCAAAAGTAATGACTTCTGTGATTTTAAATGATTGTATTATATTTATATGAACACATAAACATTGGTACAAAGGAGTAACTATTTATACGTCACTCAAATTACTGAATATGAGTGGGCTTGGATAATGCCCGGATGCCCAAACCAAAGAAGCACCCAATTGTATACACTTAGATAAATATAATTAAGTCCAGTAAAAGTGTAGTAAATTAAACTAATCAAATACACCTGTAGGTTACATGATTCTGGCATAGATGTTTGGGATCTGTGTACAATAGACAGAAATGACTTAGATAATCACGTTTCCATTAGCTAGTGAACTTTTATGTTGAGGTTACGAAAGTCATACTACAATTTGAAGTCATTTGCGTCAAATATATAATAATAACCAGTCTATAATGGTCTTATGTAAGTAATAAGTAAAGAAAATAAAATAAAATAAAATACTGCACTGGTTAAACTTTACACAAAAACCGTGAATCATGGATGAAACGATACATTAATTTCAGAGCGATTGCATTACTCCACAAATTATTGGAATTTTACACCAATCTGAAAACAATAACCATTGATATTATAATTTTAAAATCACTATTATTGGACTGCATATATCAGGGTTGCATAGGAAGGTGGTAAGAATTTTCAACAGGATACATGCGATAATTTCAACCATTTTGCTTTATATCGATAAATATTAAAGAACGCTTCACCAGACTAAATAAAATCGGCAGTAATTCAATCTTCTTGACTACCACTCAGTTTACAGATTGTGAGTTAATGTAGCAGACCAGAAAGTTCATTCTTGTAAGTAATTATCAATCGACTTAATATTGTTATTTTCTAGTATCAATCTATCACTATCTTATCAGCCATCTCCACAACCAATTTGTAATCAAAACTATGATGTTCACAAGGTCCACAGAAGTATCAAAATTAAAATTGGAGACTTACTTAGAGGTATAGCAGTAATCAAGATTATAGTAACCATTAGTATGCTAAACGATTTAAAACACAAAGTAAAACACATAAGGAACTTATAAATGCTCAGACATATTGATGAATCAAAAGAATCACAATTTAAGCAACTAACAAAACCGACCTCCAACTAATACATCCCACTTTTACAATCCTATAGGACAACTCGAGAATCGACCGAAATATTTTATTATGTTACAGTACTAAACTTAGGATTAATACATTATGGCTAACGCTTGAAGACTAGTTAGTGTTGACACAATGAAATAAAATATACATATAACAAGCCGCTGTTTACGTTGTTGGAAATGTGGTTAAAAACTTTATTGTGAAAGAGTTAACGTTACGATACTATCATAGCATCCCAAAATCATTCTAAAACAGAGATAACTGAGACATTATTTTATAAATTAACTGATTACAGTAATAAGTTTCCCTTTTATCTATAATACTTCACCAGAGATGTAACATTTTTCAAATTTTCAGACGAACAATATTTGCTTTACAATAACTAAATAACCTTTTTTAACGACAAGAGCCTTAAAATAATGTTTAGTCAAATCGTCACTTCACGTTGTAGAAAAACAAAATGCCACTAATAAATCTATAACACCACAATTTGTGACCGTGTTCTCAGCGTAAAAAACTGCATTTTATGTTATCTTTGTTAACAGCCATCTTCCGTTCGCTGAGAACATGAAATTTACTCGACCAAAAAATCACTGATGAGAAAAGAATTAAAAAATAGCAGATAATTCGAACTTGTCGGACCAACCAAAAGCAATGAACAGTACTAAATATCACTGATAGCACCAATACTTGAGGGTATACGGTTGTGTTAATACATAGTAGACTCCTATGTGTGCTTAGTTTTGATAGAAATTCCTGACTTCGTACATCAAAGGATGAGACACATTTGGTGCATCAGCCGTTGATATGACACTTTTGATTGAACCGCAAGTTGTAATTTCGTGTGGTTCTAAATTGTGGTAACATGAAAGAACGAATTCTGGGGAGAAGTTCTAGTGTTCTTCATGAAACTAAATGTGACAAGTGGAATCGACGCCTAAAAACAAGACATTTGGATAAACTTTAATCCCGACTCGCCAACAAACATTTAGATCTATGCATTAAAAAAACAGAAGTACCACACGAATTAGTGTGTGGCATGGCATGGCATGGTGGGCGGCCTATGCTCCATTGGGGGTAACAGGCGTAAGTAAGTAAAAGTAAAGTAAATGGCTAGTCCAAAATTTTCTGAGTCTATCCTTTCTGCTACTAGGTGGACTCATTAAGATATTCCTCACTTGAAAACATAAGTTGCGATATAGTGACGATAAAACCTAAACAGATTCCAAAAATTGAATGATTTTTCAAAAACACTACGACTTACCTCATAGCTGGGTCAACATACAACTTCCATAATGCTTCACCTTTGGAAACCTCACCGGGTACTAACAATAATACAAGAGCGCTAACTACTACGATAACAGAACCCATAAAATCAGCCAGTACATGTAGAAACACAGCCTGCATGTTCATTGAACTTTTATGAGCTACATTTTTGGATAGACATGAAAATATATCAAGATTTAAGTGACCACTTCGTTAAAAGATAAAAGGTATTCATAAAAAACTAAAATGTCAAATCATCCAAACAACTAACTACCATGACGAGTTACCGTTTAAACCGAAGGCCTGTTGCAATGGTTGTGTCACATTTTCTATCCCATCTGTTAGGTTTATATTACGGTGATTTACGCGATCAAAATGCATATAAGAGCTACTCAAAACTAATCGAAACAATAGAAACTGAACGCTAAAAGGAATATCACAGATTTAGCAGCGTTGTACCCAACACAAACTAGGTCGACCAGCGATCCCTACTCACTGAGTTATTTCGACTAGAATGAAATGAAAAAACATTCAGAGTACATAGTGTATTTCAAGCTTTCAAAGAAAACCGTAATCGAAAAATATTATAATCTTATCTAAACATTGCAATAAAAAGATAAGAATGAAGAAAAAGTTAATGATAAAGTAATGATCATAAGATGCACAATTCGAGATCTACTTACACTTTCTGGGATGATTATGCTTGATTTTGACAGACACCTTTTGTTGTTTGGTGTCAAGTTGTGATGCTTCGAAACCATCCTTTTGGTCCTTTTCGGTAAACCGTAGGGCATTACTATCCACTCTGTTATATATATTGTTTACTCCTGAAATAGGCTGTGTTGAATTCACCTCCAAAAATGTTTCATCAGCATTATTTAGCGGTAAAGTAGTACCAAATGCCGTTGGAGCTATCGATGCCTTGAAATCATTTAGAAAAAACGAAAAGAATTTTGAGTAAATATTCAACAGTAGATGAAAGACATATGATATTGAAATTCACACCATCATAAAATTGATATTCACCACGAGCGTGTGAAATCTACTTTTATGAAATTAGGACCAAACTAACCTCATGTTCACTTAACAATGAAATTGTCTTAGTTAATGAGAAATCAAGATCATCTATGATGAATTATATTAAGGGATAGAAACGGAGATTTAACGTCAGGTAAAAACTAGTGGCTTTCTTCATAAGGAAAATTTAGATGGCTTGAAAACCTACAGGAGCCGCAATCTGCAGACCAGAATATTCAATATTAAGTTATCAGACCACACAATTGAATAGTACAGTTACTCAGAAAACAGCTCCGATAAAGTGTACTTAGTTGTAAGATTACCAAAGATGTGGTTACTGATCGACAAGTCTTTTTGATCAAATCAGTAACCTGTAAATGTCAATGGGAACGCGTAAAATAAATTCACTGATAAGTTCTCCAAGAAAACGTTGACAGACCGGAAAACCGCGCCGAACTGTTATTTGACACAAGAAATGTAACTGTTACTTTTCTACCCCTATACAGACATCTAATTATTTATGCGCCACACAAAAAGTAATGAATTTGTGATAAGACCCGAAGGCCCAAACCTGAGCCTATGGTCGAAGGTATAATGCATAAGGCAATGGAGCGATGTCAAGAAATACAGTCCTATGGTAGCCGGTGATCAGGATCCTGTAACCCACTAGTCTGGAACATAGGTTTGTCGACCGCACTACGTGGACCCCCCGTTTCTATTAACCTAATTAGAGAGCCAAATACTTGCTTCTCGTCCTCTTGCTTTCGTAAACCACTCCAACCACAAGAAGTGAGTATTACTTCACTGAGTGGTAATACACCCGTAGCCATATGATGGCAGCTTGAGATGAAGAGTGGACTAACTTCACTCTCACTCGCACCAGAGCATTTGGCGGCTACTACCTTTCTAATAAAACTTAATGTTCAATAATCGGTAAGTCTGAGCTCCAAATGCTCCCCTATGCAAAATCACCGCTAGTACAGTTGGCTTCATATGATAACTACAGTACTTACACCTATTGTCTTAAAATTAGAAACGATAAACGAGTCGGTTTTTGAACTATTCACTGAAAGACATTATTTAATCCATCATCATTTTGAAAGATATTCGTAAACCCTGATTCAGACAGACTTACGGAACCATAAAATGTGAAAACTAGGTCTGAAAAACTTAGATGCAACTTACGTCTACTGCTGAATCAACCCCGCCATGCGAACCCTCATGTGAATGACCGCCAAGAACAATAAGTCCCAGTATGTTAACCAGGAGACCGCCACAACCAACATATACCATCATTTGAGCACTTTCAATGGCCTGAGTCTCAATAAACCGCTCAATAGCTCTCAAAAGAATAGTCATGCACAACGTAATCAAAACAACTGTATTGATCAAACTGCCCATTACTTCAGCTCGCTGCCATCCAAAAGTATTTCTAGACGATCGAGGCCACTTTGCTACCCGTGAAGCAACTATCCCAATTACTAAGGCAAGACAATCCGATAACATGTGAAATGAATCTGCAACTAGAGAGATGGAATGTATTGAAATCCCAACTATCAGCTCGACCAGGAAATAAATAATTACAAGTACTAACATAAAGGTGAGTCGGCTTGTATTTCCACATGATACACCCATGATAGTTTAGGTTTTTATTTCAAAAGACTAGAATAAAATGACAAACACAAGAGTTAGCTAGACAGAATACATGTAACAGCTAACTCCTAACAGACTAGTAAACAGATCAAAGTACGCGCAGACCCGAAGTTGATACTCCTAATCAAACAAATAAAACAAAACTCTCAATAATGAGCAGGTCAATAACCTGTGTCAGTGTACCCGAAAAAAATGATGGATTAACTATATGAAGTAGAACTTAGTTGAAAGTTTGAATAATGAAATTTTCAACGTTCAAAGTCAAGTTCCTCATACTGTTCTTGTGTCAAAAATACATATTCACACTCATGTTGACACAAGGCGCTTGAAAGTATCCAGATTACTGAATTTACTTGTGCTTTTATGGAACGCAAATAAGATGTTCCACAGAACACGGCGGTTTTAGAATATATATATAGTTACATAAAAACAACAACTACAAAATGTAAAACCATATTTTATAACAACACCAGTAATATCTTCTATAAAATCGCACACTTGGGACTCTGGAGACCCAGAATTTCTAAAGACATATTTATGCTAGATTATCATACGAAAACATCTTTCAAGACATGCTTCCAGACATCATAACCGTAATGACTTCTCCTCATTAGTTACGACGACAGAAATGTGATGAGCCAATGATGATACGTACGAAAAAGGCGATTGCACAGGAAAAGCGTCCTGTCAAGCTGAGTAATCAATCTTCTTCTGAAAGACTACACATATCATCAACACAATCAAACCTGGGAATGCAGTGAATGTTGAAAATTACCGACCCATAAACATTACCTCAGTAGTCTTTAGGGTGACGGCGAAAGTCCACTCTTGTTTCTGATGTACATAGACGATATATCTATATCCATAAAATTTGGAAGATCATACTTATATGCAGGTGATCTCAAAACAGTATACAGCCATAAGCCTGAAGATCAGGACTAAAATATATCTAGATCTACCTGGAGCGAAACATAACAGCTACCTTCTAACCACATCAAATGTGGCATCATACATTTTGGTAAGCATCACTATGAAATACCACTCTACTTACGAAAATGTAGGGTTCATACACCCATTTCAGTGCATGATCTGGATACTTATAACTCCTGAAGCCTGAAATTTGAAGAACATGCCTCTTCGATTATATCTCAATCTACACGACTAATGGGGCGTATTAACTAGAACTTCTCGACAAATGAGGCCAGCCTTACAAGCTTCACATTGTTTATAGGGCCCTCACTTGAATACTGTTCACTAACCTTTTAAATCATGAATATCATAGACAAGATACCAGTAGAAAATTTCCAAAGAAGCTTCACTCGGCGACTACTACGATGGAACCATACCCTTGACTACTCAGAAAGTTACAAAACTCTTTCCATAAAAATTCTGTTGCGCCGTCGGATGAAAAACAACCTATTACTCCTCCATAAAATTATATCGGTCTTCTCCCATGTAAAATTATGCCAAATTATGAACCGCGACCCTGCTAACAGTTTCAAAAACAACATAAATACACTTCTAACGACAAAACACTAAAAATCATTGTGTTGTAATTTCTTTGTAACGCGGCACAGTCTATTGTGGGGAAGATTAGTGATTCCTATCCATACCAGTGACGCGATCGCCGGGTTCAAGAAACTAGTAACACTGCTGTTAGACTTTTAGGAGATTTATCAACTATTTTCGGAACTCACACCAAATCCTGAGGCACTCTTTTAAGGTCCACCAAATAATTATATTAACCTTGGAGACTAATGACACCATGAATGTATTGCATCCGCATTACTATCCATACGGGTATCACTAAATGATGGACGGATCACCTACTCCTACTAAAAGTAGTAGATCACGCCTCTGATGTGCTATCCACAACATTCGTAGTTTTCTTAAAATTTACATTCCAGTAATTATCTTTTTGTTTTTCACAGCCTCTTTAGTTTTTATTTCTAGTAAAGAGATAAATTTAAAAGCTGCTGCTCAACTACTGTCCATTACATACTTATGAGTTCCTTCTTGTTCGTTGATTAACAGTTTGAGAAATTTTTTATTTCCCCGATTCATGACCATCCAATTGCCTTGCTTTCTTACCAATTTACCGCATCGCTCACGAATTTTTAATACTTTATTTTCATTCATCAGCTGCCTATCTTTCCTATCTCCAAACCACTCATTCATCGACCCACATCTTACAATTTATACCATTGGGGAACGTAATATCAGTGTGATACGCTGCGTGAATATTTAGTCCAACATTCAAGAGCCAAAGTTGTCTGGTTTGCTTGTAGTGTGGAGGTAGTAGAGAAAGTGTATCCCGACAAGGTGCACAAAAGTAGAGCTTAAACTAAAAAACATTATTTAAAATCGACCGTTAAACGTTAGAGAATCAAACATCACAAAGGGAGGGAGGGTGGTATATCTGACCAGCATTCATGACAATTGGGACGAAAACCTCAATACACCTATGTCTGTAGGGAAGAAAAATTTGTTTGCTTTCCTCCTTATAGCAGGACGTAACTAGTCAACGATATTCATGTTACTTTTCCCTGTTAACCACGTTTATGACTCATGTTTGTAATCTTGCACTGGTTTCACTTCCTACCAAGAAACCCTATAACAAACAGATCTGGACACTTATGTTGAAGAGCTCACTCGTGAATTCTTGGGCAGCGGCTTTAAAAAACAATAAATGAAACATTACTTCGGCATTAAATCATTGTGCCTTCATTGGTGTATTCTGGAAATCAACATTATTTTTAACAATTCGGTTCTTTTGAATTTCCTCTATTCATTCGATCATTTGCCCTTTCGTTATCTTCCTAGTGACTTGTCTTCATTAACTTGCATAAGTACATGTGTAAAGTTAGTGTTCTGATTCATAAAAACATAAATCTCAATAATCATACATTCGCCTTATCCAAAATATTATCTCCCAAGTCATAACTGGGCTCTAAACAAGAATATTTCCTGTTCTGCTCCTCACTCATTTCTCTTCATTTCTCTTTTCAGCACTTTACTCAACTTCTTAAATAATAGCCTGGATAACTGCCTAAGACTTGGTTACTTGACCCAGGAGTCTATAAATTTATTATCTGACGAATATCAACAAGATCTTTTCACATTTATCTCACCGATTCTTGTTATATACAGACTTGGATTTACCTTTCACTGATTCTCAACCAGAAGTGGTTCGTCTCAACGCAAAAGACATAACTCACACCAGCTATCGTATTGTATATTTCAGAGTCACAATTTTGTGTGAAAAGTATTAGCGCTCTACAAAAAAGAACGTCTATCTTGTTCATTATTTATCTAAATGAACAACCTTTTACAGAAAATATGTTATTAATCCTAACATTTCGATCTAACCTGTAAATAAGCATGACTCTAGTAGCATGCTATTTGAAAATAAATCATTATTGTTCCTAAGAGGAGTTGTAAATAGCAGTTACATAACTCCTCTTTGAACTACTTGGCTAGTCCTTAACATGCTTCGCAAGGTCCTTCATGGTGTCATTCGTTAGAACCTGATATTTTTCCACAAAACAACGCTAGGCTTTCTCATTCCCCTTTCAGTCACGATTCATAACCCTGCTTACCCAATCAGAAAGAATAAATGAGTACCAATAACTGCTGAACACCGTAGACTGATAGGTTTTAAGTTCCTGCGGTAAGTTCACTGTGAAAGTTTGTAAATGTAACACTATCACAATGTTCGGAAAACCCAGTCCTGAGACTCTAAAGATCTTTATGAGTTGTATAGAGAATTCTCGCTCATCTTTAAGGTACATTTTATGAACCACCTAATACGAATATTTATCTTAAGAAACTAATGACACACTGTAAATATATCTCACTCCTAATGCCTATCATTATTCCTTTCGCTCACTAACCATAATGTGTCAAGCCTCTTAAGTTACACGAACATCTCAGAATATCTAGCTGCAAACTATTATTGCGATCATCATTGTCTCTCTGTGCTTTGGATTGCTCTTCTACTAAGATTTTGCAGTTATTTGTTCAAAACTATGACTTTGCTTATTTCGGCAACATTCTTTTAGTTCTGTATTTTGAGAAGTTTGGTCTAGGGACCTAAAAGTTTGTGGTTTACCATAAACTTCGTTACAATAATCACTGTAACGTCATATTTGTACTTATGGCTTGTAACTTACGAATACACTTTTGATTCATAAGGGGTGATTTGTGTAAGAATTTTTGTAAATTTTTGGGTGAGTAAACGCCTTCATGTATATACCCTTCGATCGTAATTTGTTACTTGTCCTCCAATTCATCTATTTAGTTGAACGTTCCGTTAATTTTCAACTCGAAATTAAACGGTTACTACCTAATATTAATTGGAATTTTTACTTCACTTCTCTAATGTATTTCAATGATTCTGAAGAACTTCACCTGCGTTATTTCCCTCGGTGCTTTGTTTATGGCGGCCGTCATAATCGTTTGTTCAGCTTTTTGACTGTATGGCTTGAATGGCCTGTATTTGTTCATTTTTTAATTTTGGATGGAAGCAGAATACTAGGACTTGAAACTGTGTTTTAGCAAGTAACTCTGGATACTTTCTTATTAATATCTCTATATATTTAAACGTTGCTTTTCGAACAGAGAGTGCATGGTCTGTTCAGATAACATAAAAAAATATCCCTATAATTTTTATACTTGATTTGATATTCAAATTTGGATGAAGGAGCTGAGTAGTTATATTTGTTCAGGTAATAATGTACATCTATCACATACGTTTACATAAAACTGCTCCTTACCCAACTGCTTTGTTTTGGACTTTGAATGGGCAAGAGCACGCATTTCTAAACTAACCATAAAGATTATTCTCCACTCTAGACCACTTCAGTTTGAGAAATACAATTTAGTCTTTCAGTTTTTTGAATTGCAACCTAGACACGTATCCATTGTCCGTACTTCAAGAAAATATCGTGACAACATTTAGAAGTGACCTGTATGCTCTTCTTATTACTGTGGATTCCCCCTAGTCTGAATTATACCACTTGAAAACTTTTGAAATGTCTATTTGTTCCCATACAGATGTTTTGATTAGTTACTTACTGGTCACCTCTATCAAAGGTTTTGCAACCTGTTGTAACGGTTGCTTAAGATATATC